TCCTGTTATACTACAACAATAATAAAATAGTAACAAGCTTGAAATTTTTCATTCTGGTTTTGAACCAGTTTACTTGGTTATCATTTGTGACATAGACATAAATACTTCTCAGCTCAACTATATACATTCAAAACAAAACAGATTTATTTTAAAAAGTATTTCCATTGTTAAGTGGCCCATCAAGTTAAGCTCAATTATCGGTGACTATACAGACAAATAATTATTATGTCCAATAAACCAAATATAGTAATCTATATTTCTCTACAACACTTAAAGCACTGATAAACAACATCTAGAGGAGATAAGATGTGATGACTCATTCAAGCATGTGATTGTTTGTGCAAATTGCAATTTTACACTGCATTTTACATTTATGCATACAATTACACAAGTTCAAGCAATAAAATCACATAGTTTCCTTTGTTATTATGATATATTTATTCATTTAAAATATTCATAGACTACTGTGCCTACAATTGAGATGTATTGTGGTAGGTCACAATCCACACCATCAAGATAAAACAATGAAACTTTAAAAACAACAACAACAAGGTAACACAAATAATGTTTAACAAAGGATCATTTGACAGAGCAAGAAAATAATTTCTGGCTACTCTCTGACTGTAAAAAGCACATGCAAGCCATCTAGGTCAGATATCTACCCATAAGTATCCTTATTGTTATTATTCCACTTCAGTTTACTAGTCCTCATTATGTATTGTGACAAGTTTCCCACATTAGTATAGCTTACCCTAATCTTAAAGGCTAATGAGAAAGAAATGAGTGTTAGTGACATATCTGTGACCTCATTAGCAAACCTCAGGAAGAATTTACTTAGTTACTTCAAGCAGAAGTTAAACTACAAGAATGGCAAAATTGAACCATGTTCCCAAATGTAGGAAGCCTGAACAGGCACAGCCATCTAAAGTCATTTTCATAATCAGCCCTAAAGTTAGGAACTGAAACACTAAAGAACAGTTCTTGCTACTCTAGTCAACTCAACAGGAAACATGGTCAATGTTTTCAAAAACTGTTGTGTGATCTAAGAAGATGAACATAGTTATATTCCTCCCCCTTTAAAAAAAATCCTGTGCAGCTAATTTCTCAGGGCTGAAACCTGATTACAATGGATCCCAATTATTTTTTTATATAGTATTTTATTAGTTTTCTAATTTTACAATTAAACATTTAAAAAGCAACGTGGTGGCTGGGTAGTCAATAATTCAATAACATACATAAATCTTTAGCACAAATCTCAAGTTACAACATCAAATATTTCCTCTCTTTTTCCCTTAATATCTACTATCTCATACTGAGCTAATATAGTTCTTATTGTTATCAACTAAGTAAAATCACCTTTGTTACATGTATCAATAGATTTTTGCTTATACATATCTTAATTGTGTTTGCATGTTATTTCATTCCTATTATTTCCAATACAAAATAAGAGATTAGTTTACTTTAAAAAAAAATTTCCACTGGTTTTCTGATTTCAAGTTTGAGACACAAACCTGAAAAATAGTTTTAATTGAGAATTCAATTTTATAATTTAATGATGGAGTTTTTAAGAAAGTTATTCTAAACATATTTTATAATAACCACCAGTACCATATATAATAAAAACAGATATGTCAAAAATGATACTCCTTATGTTTTATGACTTTTTCATTGCAGGATTTTACATAGTTATATCTATATGCCTGAACAAAAATATTTAATAGTCTTTTTAAACAATAATAAAAATGTTATGCTCCTTAATTCTGCAGAGTGTGCATTCAAAAAAACTGAGATTATAACAGGGGAAGCTGTATTGCTACCAGATAACTTCTCAGAAACTATATGTGAACATTCTCAAATGATCTCAACAAGCATGAAGGTTCATCCTGAGGTCAGAGTTATCTCAAACAATTTGAACCTAAGCTATGCAGAGTTTTAAGAATAACATCCAAATATCTGAAATGGACTGATGTCTGGTCTTTTTGTTTTTCTATTACCATCTTGGCTGGGGAGTTTTGTACCAGCCCAAAGATTTCAGACTAGAAACAAAGAAACTTCCCCATGCACAGACCATTAATATAATTGAGTCTGGAGGTTAGCATATGCACTACTATTTTAAGATTATCTTCAGGAAGTCAGTTGTACTGTATATTAACCCACAGAGAGACTGCTGCTTGTTGCCTCATACTGGGATATCAGATTTTAGTTCAGAAGCACTCACAAACAATATACCTGCTCCTTCTTGGATAGTATGATCCAATTCAGAATAGACAGAACTATCACTCTTTGAAATAATATCCTTTCTACCCCTCACACAGACACATTTATATATACACACACACCATTGAATGATCTGTTTTAAGGAGCATCTATCTCCAGAGAGACACCATATGACAGTGGCCCCCAACCTTTTGGCACCAGGGAACAGTTCTGTGGAGAAAGGTTTTTCTGCAGGGGGGGGCATGGTTTCGCATGCTGCCTGCATCCCACGGATGGAGCTTGACTTGTTTGTGCGGACCAGTTTCTGGCATGCTACAGATTGGGACTAGTCCACAGCCTAGGGGTTGGGGACCCCTGCCATATGAAATCTACTTAAGAGTATGAGTGCTATGCCTTGTATTCTCAAATATCTCTACCAATTTAGAAGTAAGCATTGCCCACTGTTCTGAGAGATCAAAAAGAACCAACAAAATCTCTCAAAGAACAGCAACAGAAATCTCTCCAAGGACAGAAGTCCTTCAGCTGAATCAGAGCTGAAAAAAATGAGATGTTCACTTGAAGGCTACACAAGCTGCAGCCCAAGTATCAGAGGAGTGGGGAACAGGTATAAAGTTGCAGATAAATTTATCGTATCTTTCCCTTGAGCATTTCCTACTACAGCTCCTTTTTTCTGTGATATCACAACATTCAAAGCAAGTTGGACTTAGTCTGCATGTGGCTATATAGGGATTCTAGGTTGATCCCTCATTAAACTCCACCCACAGGTTCTGCCACTCCTCCTCCTACATCATGTTACAAATTAGCTAGCCATAATTATATTAATTAAACCAAATCTAAGCAACATAATTGTGATTTAATTGCAGAAAATTGAGTTGAAATATCCACAATTCATTCAACACTATATGTCTAACATGTTTATCAAAATAGCAGCTTCCTTCACTTTTTAAATTTTTAGTTAAGTATCTGATGTTTAATTCAGGAACCGTATCTAAGCAAAGATTAACTATAAGTGCTAGCATATCAATAAGCGACCACAATGTATTTGGCTATTTTAAGTTGTAACCCAGCAAACTCTCAAAGATCATTGATTCATGTTAATTAGTAAGATCTAGGGCAGGTGTGTCAAACTGCCGGCCCACAGGCCGGAAGCATCAAAGCAAAACCATGCCCACCCCATTGCAGGCAATAGCAAAAAAGTCACAATACGTCACAACATGTCACATGATGTTGCCAGTTTAACACCCCTGATCTAGGGTTTCTGAACCAGAAGCACTAGATCTTAGGCCAATTGAACTGATACAGCTCTGAGTTCTTAAAACTCTTTGTTAAACAATGTTACAAAAACAATTCTCTCAGTATGCCAGCAAACTACACATTTCTCACAGTTGATGGGATGCTAACAATCTGTTGGTTTGAAAAGTAATCTGTAGAGTAGGCTGTCAGTATGAGATGAAACTGTATTGTGGATGTGTTTATAGTATACTAGCCAAAAGGGGCCAAAACCCACCAGTCTTTACTGACAGTGTGCTGTATGTGCTACAGGTACAATTAAGTAAAATAATCTATACTTTATCTTATTGAAAAGTATTATGTGCAAGCCTTGAATAACCAAAGACATAATAGATGATAGAAATCAGTATCCAATGACCTTTCTGTGGAATTTGGAAGATTGTTACTTGAAAATATAAAATTATTCTCACAGCAGACTAATTTCCACATGGTCTGTTAGGAAGTTTGTTTGTTGAAAGAAGTGGAAATTAGGATGGGTTTGGCCAACTTCATTATATGAAAATATGCTAAGTGGTTTGTTCATATAAGGACTGAATTGAAAAAATAAATTTATGAAAAAAGTTTGAATTTAAAGTAAAACTATTTGGGGTAATGTTGGCAAAATCCTGAAAAGAGAAACGAGAAATTTAAAGAAAAGGCAGGTTATGAAGCAGTGAATGTATAGCTTAACAATGATTTGTAAAGGCAGAAAAGTATGGGAAAGTATGGGATATTGAATAGCACTTGTAAGTTTAAGCTATGTTAGCATTTTTTTCTATCACATTTAATTTTGTTGGTTTATGTCTCATTACTCCTTTTCTGGTCTCTGTACACTATTACCTATCCTAAAAGCAAGGGTAAATAATGAACAAGTATGTACAGGGCACAGGGTACCTCAATATACTCCTTGATAATATGACTTTGGTCTTATCTTCTCACCCCAAAAATTAAAGATTCCCATGTTGGTCCTCGTAGTGTACGCTGCAATACAACTAGTTTTGTTTTGTACTGTTTTCTTCTAAAACTGCCAGGGAGCCATGAGTCAAACACATTATTCCACAAGTGACCAACATAGCTTATTTCCAGTGGAGGAAAATGCAAAGTACTACCATCATAGGCAGCACATATGCAACTGCCCACCCTCTATTAAGGAAATACATTTATTTAACTAGCTGCAATAACTTGCATACATTATATAGATGGAACAACAGCCTGTTATTATAAGGATTGGTAAAAAGTTATCAATTCTGGTAGCATTCACACAATAGGGTTGCAAATAAGCAGTCCCCTAATTTATAAGGTAGGGCTAGAATTTACCATGGAGCAACAGAGATGTGACAACGATGTAACTTTCAGAGTATGATAATCGACGCTGTTTGTTACTCTTTTGCTTCTCCCAATAGGCAAAAAACGGAAAAGTTTCACAATGTGAAAGTGGTGGTGGGTGTTAGAAAGGGGCGTGGGAATGGCGAGCAGAACTCCAGTGGAGCAAGGGACCCAGGTGGTTAAGTTACCTGCGCTGGAAGTCTTGCTCAAAAGGAGTCAAGTAGGGATCTTTCTCCAGCAGTCGCTTCAGTTCGGTCGGAAACGAACTTAGCACAGCCATCTTTGCAACTGTAGTGGCACTTGACTAAAACAAGTCATCTGGAAGCGCCCCCTTCCCTTCGGACCAAGACTAAGATAGGCTAAGCCAAAGAGTGGGCTGGTAGAGCACCACTCCGCCCTCTTTTCTAGTGGAGGTAAACAGATGCTTTCCATTCAATCATTCGCTAAGAAAGGGAAGGCAGGACAGGGCCATTCCGGGTAATCGCCCGCCTCCTGCGACGTCGCTGGGATGATGCGGCAATTGGCACGTGGAACGTGAAGATCTGCAGCAGTGAAGCCTCGTCCCCACGTATGAGTCACGCTGATTTCTCGCTGCGCCAAGAGCCGGCTCGCTTGACATTAACGGAGTTCTGACCTGCAGCCTTTCGTGCTAAACGGGTCAGATGTCCTAGGCACCTCACTAAAGCAACATTGTACGGGGAGGATCTCTACCAGTCACGTGTTGAGGTCCAGGAACGAGGAAGTGCTGCGTGAGGGTTTGAAGAAAGCGTTCTGGGTTACCGGTCGGGATGTGCGCTTTGCCTAGGAAGTGCGCAAACGCAATCGAGGATTTGAAGCTGTTGCCAACGAAAGGGCATCGGCATTTTTAATGTTTTGAAAATTGTGAGCCGAGTTGTAAACGGCAGAGAATGCAGTTTAGATAATGTGAGAATAGTTAGGGAATGTAGGAGCAGTTAAAAGTGTTTGCTGTCTTATAAAGACGAACGAAAAATACTGTTTAGTACACGTAAACTTCATTTATTTCAGTGGGATGTTTTTTGATAGTATGATTGGGCTATGTCTGTTTTAAATTTAACTGTATATCATATTCAGTAATCAAATCAAAAGTTTTATTATTGTTGTTACTGTTATTACCAGTGCAACTCAATTTGTTTTCCCCACATTTCATAATGGCAGAGATCATTCCTAAATTCAGTAAAACATTTGGTTAAACTGTTAAAAAATAATGATGAAAGTTTAAAATGTTTTAACTATTAATTATTTCTAAAGTGTCTTATAACATCAAATAAACTGGTATCATAAATAAAATATGTTCCAAGAAAATTCAAAAGTTAATTGCATCATTACTTTATGCAAATTTCACAAAATAATTAGGATTAAATATGGTAAAAAGCACAAGTCTTCACATGATTTCTATTATCATTCATAGCATACTTTCAAGGATAAAATAGAATTATCCAAGAGAGTAAGCTGGGTCAAGGACTTACTCCAGAGTAATTGTTTTAGCCAGAATTTAACAGCAAAATTACAGGGGAGATACAGCCAAGTTTCAAGTGAGAGGGTATTTGCCATTAATCAAAAAACAAGATGAATGGCCTTTATAAAATTAGAGGTGATATTAACAAACCATTTAATATATGCCTTTGTTATAAAGTCAACCATAACATTGTTAATGATATGGATCCTACTATATATTTGTGTCAAAAGTATATGAGCCTTTGCTTTCAGTTGTTTCTTGAACAACAATAACTGCAACTAAAAATTTCTGGTAACTGTTGATCAGTTCTGGTTTGGCGAAATTTTAGCCCACATTTCCTTACAGAAAAGCTTCAACGCAAGCATAATGGTAGGCTTCCTCATATGGAACTGCCTGTTTCATATCAATCCACAATATTTCTATAGGGTTAAGGTCATGACTCTGACTTGGTCATTCCAAAACTTTAACTTTATTCTAGTTTGTAGGATCCAATCTGAGTCGGTCACCAGGACCAGAGAGTTAGTCTTCCAAGCTTTTGGATTCATGCTGAAGCCATCCTCAGGGAACTTCTCTCTCTACATGTGCACTGGACTGTTCTGTGCATAGTATTTATGTGGTGTCTGGTTATGTGTGACTTTTAGTTGTTAATTGGAGTATTGATGGCTGGCTATTAAGTCATTGGTTGTTGTTTCCTTGTGCGCTGTGCCCTCTGCTCCTAAGTACCTGGTAAGCTGGTGGTAACTCAGCATTCCTATTGATGGACAAGAGGCCCATTTCCCTAACTATTTTTGTCCCAGCTCAGCCAACAATTTTACTTTAACCTCTCTTTGGTCATATGAAGCAATGGATGGAAACTATGAAGAAATGGATGGAAACTAATCAAGGAGACAGCCAACCTACAACTACGGAGAAATTTCCTGACAGAACAATTAATCAGTGGAACAACTTGCCTCCAGAAGTTGTGGGTGCTCCAACACTGGAGGTTTTTAAGAAGCGATTAGACAACATTTGCATGAAATGTTATAGGGTTTCCTGCTTGAGCAGGGGATTGGACTATAAGACCTCCAAGGTCCCTTTCAACTCTGTTATTCTGTTTTGGGTCATTTTATTGCTTCATGACCTACTTTCGCTTGAATTTCAGTTGACAGATACCCTGACTTTTCAAGTGGAATTTGCTGGTATAATGTAGAATTTATAGTTCTATCAATGGCAACTTGTTCTGGTCCAGAGGTAGCAAAGCAGTCAAAAGCATCTGTCAAAACTATCTGATGGAATAAGGTTTGTAGGCAGGAATAGTTTTTGACTTTTGCTTTTCATTGAAACATACAAATACAAGAAACCTATCAACCAATTTGACCATCCATCTATCTGCTATTTAAAAACAGTTAACAGGTAGTCCCAACAACAAAGCTAGACCTCAAAGCCCTCTGTTAACAATCTATTATTGTATTTAACTTGCAGAAAGTCCACAAGTGGCTTCTATTCTCTCATAAACCAATATAGTCATTGCCTCTGATCTTTCCAGGATCAAATATCATCAATTGATTCTTAATAATAAAAACAACCCTCAATATATCATCTTTGCATTTCTTTAAAACTATGAGTAGAATCTTTCCAGACAACTGCTTCTCACTATCCCAAAAAGGTTTCCATTGAGAATATTTCCATAATACTTGTTGTTCAACAAATTGGGACCCAATGTATCTTGACAGCTGTTCTCTAGCTCAGGGGTCCCCAGCCTATGGGCCCAGGCCCGGGCCATGGGTTCTTGGCCAGCAGGGCCCGGAAACAGCTGGCTGCTGCGCACACGTGTGGGCATGCATTTCCCCCCACTCGTGCTAGTGCCTGCGGCCTGTTAGCACATGCGCATGGGCATGAATGGGAATGCTAGCACGGGGTGGGTGTCTGTAGCCTGTTTGTGCATGCGCCGCTAGCCTGAGCGGTTTGTGTGGCCTGTTTGCACATGCACGAACGGGCCGCTAGCCACCGTGGGAGTGCACGGCCGTTCCCGCATGCACATAGCACCAGTGCATGCCGCATGTGTGAACGGGGCTGCTAGTGCCACGCCAGTGTGTGTGACCCCGTGTGAGCGCACGCGCACACACACACCAATTTTGAAGCTGTTCTCCTTCCCTCCAGTCCTCAAGCCCGGAAAGGTTGGAGACCTCTGCTCTAGCTGCATATGATGTCTCCATTCTGCAAACTCAATCAGCTTTTCTAAGAAGGTCAAGTTCATTAATGCCTCCCTCAGACTTCTCTAACAAATCTTTAGTTTACAAACAAAACTCTTTCATATTTGTTAGCAATAAATAAACCTCCAGTCCTACCAGTTGCATGATTGATTTAACTACTGTTGTCTTTATCTAGATGTCTTCTTTAGGTTGATTTACAATTGTTACAAATTCATCAAACCTTTTATCCTATTTTTCATTTAGAACTTGTAAGTTGGCAAACTTTTTTTCAAAAGTTTCCAAGAAGGCTTTAACATTAAAATCATCTGAGTCCCATCTCTTTTTTAAATTTCTTGTAGATATTATAAAGAAAATATAGTATATAATATTTAAAGTCCTTAATTTATTGTTGCTTTGCTCTCTTAGTCAAGTTTTCACAGCCATGTGTTAACAATTCCCTTTCAAGGACAAAGAAAATGGATGTTCCAAAAAAAAGAGCCCCCAAAACAAAAAAAAACACCTGAGGTAATAGCTCTCACAACAGAGAGTAGATTTTTAAAAGGACAAGTTCCTGTCTTTAAAAAAAAATGAAAAGCAACAATATATACAAAAATAAAATGAAGCAACAGAGCTCTTTTAGGAAAACTAGTAAAGTACAAAATCCTTAGAATAAAAATCCAGCATAGATCATACTGAGTCACTTTCACTTCAAAGAAAAAGAAAAAAAATCCTCCCACTGCTGACTTCCTTGTGGCAAAAGAGAAACTATTTTAAAGCTCCAAATAAAACAATAAAAGTTTATGATTGTAAGCAAGCAAAAAGGGTATAAGGCAAATCTTAGATTATGCAAAGCCCAGATAAGATGAGTAGGGCATGTCATCAAAATGAATGGGCTCCTTTCTTTAAGATGAGTAGGGCATGTCATCAAAATGAATGGGCTCCTTTCTTTAAGGTGTACTGGATTGTGGGAAGAGCCCTCAAGGTCAACCATGTGAGTGCTACAAAGCCATTGTGAAAAACTCTATGCCACTGTAACATCCAGCCAAGGTAACTAGAAGCTTCAGCAGCTGACAAACTTGCTGGTGATCTCTGTGCTAGGAAGCTTCAACCAGTTTTTAAGGCAGGCACCAACAAAAACTGATAGAAAACCATGATCTGAGTTTCAGAATAACACAGTGACTACAAAAATGGACTTCCAGGGGCCCCACTGTACTAGATTTTATGCTTCAAGACTTGGTGTTCACAGATAAGCTGCACAACCAAATTGTTTTGTTCCAATCCAAATGACTACCATATATATAATAGTTATAGTAAAACTAATAGTATAAATAAACACAAATAAATCTACAATAAACATAATAAAAGTAAACAAAATTAATTTATAATTGAACTAGCCATGCCCAATATCCTTAAATTTTACATACTGAATTTCATATTCTTTGGTTTAGTACTGCATTAAGGTGAATTCTGCATGGTACTATGATATCCCTGCTTCTATCTCAGTTTATCTCATTTAGTATAATCTTATTATATTTGTTTTCTGTATATTAAAAATACATATACCTAGGTATTACATTAATCACCAAGCCAGTGATGAAATGGGCTTGGGCTACAAATTTATGCCATCATAATTTTGTTGATCATTAAGTTTATCTCAGAATTCTTTGTTTCTATTGTTATATTTGATGGCTTAGTACTGCAAATAACTTGCTAAAAAGGACATTAAGTGGAACAAAAGCTTATGATCTATCAATACTAGCACTATAGCACTTTTTTTTTTTGCCCAATCCAATTTTCATTTCAGCTAGATGGAAAT